CGTTTTCCACCACCAGCAGCATAACTTGGGGGGGGGAAGGAAGGAAGGAGGTGGAGGGTGAGGAGGAGGAGGACAATGAGGAGGAGGAGGAGCCCCTCCCCCTCCTGTTTCTGGTGGTGCTCCTGGGCGTCGCCAGCGAGGGTGGCCCGCCGAGCGCCCTGCACCAACAGCATCCGGGCGGCCGGCCGGCTCGAGCCTCCGCGGGAGCGCGCGCAGGCCGGCGTTCTGCGAGCACCCTCTCAGCACGACCCTGGACCAGGGGGAGGAGGGGGGGGGAGGAGGAGGAGGAGGAGGAGGAGGAGGAGGAGGAGGAGGAGGAGGAGGAGGAGGAGGAGGAGGAGGAGGAGGGGGTGGCAAAGGGGGGGGGATGACTAGGAGGGGGGTGGATATCATGGCGTGGGCCATGATGTCGCCTCAAGTTTCATGGCGCCTCTTCTTTCACGCAGTGGCGAAGCGTCCTGGCTCGCTTATAGCCCCAGCCCCACCAAACAATGTTCTAAGAACCTGTTGTGGTCTCCCACGAAATGTTCTTAGAACATTTCTGGCGGAGTCTGTCTTGTTTCAGCACATCTGGTTTATGCTCTAAGAACATTGATATCGTTCGTAGAACATGTTTGGGTTCTAAGAACATTTCGTGGTAGGACTATAGGAATGCCGGGACGGTCGGTCCCTGCTCAAAGGAGGGGGGGGGATATCATGGCGCGGGCCATGATGTCGCCTCAGGTTTCATGGCGCCTCTTCTTATCTCAATACGTCCCTGCCCCCCCCCCCCCCCCACCCAGGCCGCGCACGTGCCACTGGCCATGATTGGCGCTCCCCCCTCTTGGACGCCCCCCTCTTGGCCGCCCCCGACTTTACCAAGGCTAAATTGAAATCGGGCGTGTCCCTCTACAGGAGGGAGATTGATTCAAGGAGAGTAACGAAATAGTCTGGGGACTATGCTTCGACTATGTTTCTTTATTTCTTTGTATTTGTTTGACAAAATTCCATTTGTAGTCCAAAACCCGCCTACAGGAGGACGTGCCCGACCTGAGGCTAAATCAGTAACCCCAAACCAGTTGATCTAGCATTCTCTCTCCTATGCTCCCTCCCGAAAGGTGGGGGGTTTGGCGGCGGTTGGCAAGAGGGGGGGATGAAGAGAAGGAAAGGAGAGGGAGGAGGACACAAATGGGAGGAGGAGGGAGGGGAGGGAGCAGGAGAAGGGGGGGAGGAAAGGGAAAATGATGGGGTGAGTACTACCCCTCTCAAAATCAAACACAAGTGTTAATCTTGCCCCCTCGCCCCCACAGTTCAATGTATTGAAAATGGGGACCTGGGGGCGTCGCCATGTCGCGAGAAAAACTTGCGTCTGATGTCGAGGAGGGAAGTATGGGCTGAGAGGTAGGATGTGGCTTGTCACCATCACCCCTAGCATGGCGTGGGTGTGTTTCCTGTGCGTCGCGCGGGACTGCCACGCCGCTGCTTGTATTTGGCAGCGCCGACCGGGGCGATATGCTGAGGTGCTGAGTATACGGCACCGAACGTTGTTCGGCTGGGGATGGGTCCGCATGGCAGATCGATATGAGCAGGCCATGGTAGATACTCATCCGTGCCATTGGCACAGCGTGGGTTGCAGCGGGATGCCGACGGCGAAAGGATTGGCCAGTCAGAATCGGAAGCACGATTCGGAGGAAATGGTTGAGGAGGCGTTGGTCGTAGACTGGTACTATCGCCTAAATGTGAGCAGAGGTTTAACATCGGTTAGGCAGCTAGGCAATGGAAGGGTAACGACGTGTCTTCATCCTTCCAAACTCCCCAGACCCCCAGAAACCCAGAGAAACATATGACATACGCAACAACATAAAAAGATGGTCCCCACTATCAACGGGGAACCGCCAAACACATCTCCGACGCCTCAGAAAGTCTACATCCCCCCTCTTCGTCCAATCCACCTCCTCCTCCTGCTCCTGCTCACGCTCGCAGTTCATGTGCCATGGACATGTGCCGCGCACTTCGCGTTCTCGCATTCAGACAGGGCAGTGGCCTTGCGCCAGCGTGAGCCATGCCGCAGTATGAGTGCCAGGCTCCGTGCAGGCCACGTGACCCGTCCCAGAATATGCTCTGTGGAGACGGTCTGCTGGCATTACGTCGGGCCTGTCCCTCTACAGGAGGAAACTTCAAACATAGTTTTCAAAGAATAAACTGGGGAGTATCGTCTTTCTATGTTCTGCTATTTTGGATTATTTGTAGGGTATTTAATGTGTCGTCTAAAATCCGCCTGTAGGGGGAAATGCCCGACCTAATGCTGGCATTATGTGCCAGTTGCGGCCTGCACAGACCCTTTTGCGTCCAAGGGCCTGCACGGTCCCTGCACAGGCCCTCCCCCAGAGCGGCAAGGGGTATTGTGCGTCGTCGTCTCTGGAACGGGGAGCACCCAGATTCGGGGGAGGGGGAGGCGGATGAGGAGGAGGAGGAGGAGGAGGAGAAGGAGGAGGAGGCGGAGGAGGGGGAGGCCCTTCGGGGACGTCTCAGGTTTCGAAGCCCTCGAAACTCACCAGAAGCAGTGGGTTTCGGCGAGCCTCCAGCTAGAGTGGCCGAAGCAGTCGGACCCGTCGACCAGCCCAGCGTGCCCTCTGCCTCTGAGTGGAAAAGCCTTCTCCTCCTCCTTCCCCTCCTCCTCCTCCTCCTCCTCCTCCCCCTCCTCCCCTCCTCCTCACCCCCTCCCCGCCTCCTCCATTCTCCTCCTCCCCCTCCTCCTCCTCCTCTCCTTCCTCCTCCTCCTCCTCCTCCTCCTCCCCTCCTCCTCCTCCTCCTCCTCCCCCTTCTCCTCCTCCTCATCCTCTTCCTCCTCCTCCTCCTCATCCTCCTCCCTCCGCGATGAGCTCCCAAGGGCGCGCTGCCACCACGACGTTTTCCTGATCTCCGTTGACGAGGCCGAGGAGATAGTGGCTCTGCCCGCTTCTGGTGCAGAACTGAGGAGGGGGACCGATTGGCAGCGAGGAGCAGCGAGGGAGGTGGGAGGGTGCTCTCTAGCTCCCTGTTTCCCTTTTTTGTTTAGGTTTGCCTTGATTGGCAGCGCACATGAGGGAGCGGACCGAATGGAGCGGATGGCAGGGGGGGCTTCTCACGGGCTCGCCTGCCTGGCGGGAGACATGCTCAGAAGCAACCGGCCGCCTCGTCCAAGGAGTCGGGTTGCCGTCTTAGGAGAGCCCCTTCCCCCCACGCGCGCCAACACGCTCTCTCTCTCTCTCTCGCGATGCAACTTCCCCACGCCTTGCGCACCCCCCGCGCGATCCCCCCTCGCGCTTGTTGTTCAACATGTGGCGCAGAAGGCTCGTGCGATGAGGAAGCCTGCTGCACGGAATCTTTCGGGCAAACTCGTCGTCGCCCCAAGACGACCGGGAGCCTCAGTGGGTCGTTGGAACCATTGGTGGATGAGACAGTTCAATGGGGCAGTTGTTGGCAGGCCAGTGTCTTGTTTGATGTGCCTGCTGCACCCACTGCGGGCACACGCAGACTCACAGTTCCGAAGACGCCTCGGGCAAATCACCTCGCCCCCCCGGACTGCTAGAAGCGCCTGTGTGGTAGGATGTCGAGCGTCAGCACGGTACCGTTGTGGACGACGATCAACGAAGAGGAAGCATGTTGCCAAGTAGTTTCCATATGTTGAAAATGTTTTAAACGTCTGGAACTTGTAAAGCATGTCCAAAACATGTTTATGACATGTTTAAAACAGTTGAAACACTTTCTTGATTCAATAATATGAAAGTTCGGGCGTCCATTGTCATGGCATCCGCACGGGCACCGTCATGCGACCAGGCTCGGCCCGAGCTGTCGGGAAGCCACTGGGGGGAACAGCGGGGAGGTTACGCTGCAGCTTGGGGGGGGGGCTCGATTGCTCCCAGAATTGGTGTATTGTCTTGCGCCCGCTGCGGGCTCGATGCGGGCTCGACGCGGATTTGGTGTGGATCCCGCGCGGATTCGCAACGGATCCCACGCGGATCCGACGATTCCGGCATGGGTTCCATGCGGATTCGGCGCGGACCGGGGCGCGACGGGACAGCCGAGGCCCTTCCGAGGAAACAGCGGAAGGTACAGTAGGCAGGAGCCCTTTGGGAACGCACCGTTGGGTTGTCTTTGGCATCGTCTCTGTTGATGTTTGAGGTTCTGGGCCGGCGCAGGGCGCTCCTCTGGGGCGTCTGGCGACCCCGCAGGCCGGCTCGGGAGTGGCCCTGGGCCGTCCTGGGGGGGACCTCCGAGTCGGGGACCCCTTGGGGCCGTTTTGTGGGGGGCTCTCTGGGGCGGCAGTGGAGCCGTCCTTGGGGTCCTCTCCGGGCCCTGCTGGGCCGTCTCGGCCTGGCCTCGTGGGCTTCTTATGGGCCGACCTGGACGGTCTGAAGGGCAAGAGGGTGTGAGTCTGAAAAGCCCCCAAACCAAAGTAGCATGAAGTAGGTGTCTTCCCCAGGCCCTCCTGGGGGGTCCTCTTTGAGCCCTCCTGGACCGTAGTGTGGCCCCCGTGGGCCGTCTTGAGGCCATCGTGGGCCGTCTCCGAGGCATCTGGAGCCATCTCTGGGAGGGATCGGAGGAGGCACGAGGTGGCAGGGGGAGCAGCAGGAGGAGGAGGGAGTAGCAGAAGGAGTAGGGAAGAGGAGGAGGAGGAGGCGGGAGGTGAGGTGGATAGGGCGGGAGGAGGAGGGAGGAGGGAGGAAGGAAGGGAAGGATCCTACCCTCGTTCTCGTCCTCGTCCTGATCCTCCTCTTCCTCCTTGTTCTCCGCCAGGCTCCACGTTCCCAGACATGCGATCTCTTGATTGGTCGATACGGGGTCCCCAGACGTCTTGACCCTTTCCCTATAGGCCGCTCTCCCACCCCGATCCTTCCCTTTTGACCCTCCCGGGACCCTGCGAGGGTCCCGGGAGGCCGAAAACGACCATAAGCCTCGCGCTGTGATTTCTGCCACGACGCGAGCACGTCTGGATCTCCATCCTCCTCTTCCGCCCCCTTCCGGCAGGAGCCCTCTGCGCGCACCCCGCCCCTCTGCTGGGCGGCGGAGGTGGATCACATCCTCTTCCGGCGGGAGCACGGCCCTCTGGCGCCCGTGCCCGCGCGCCCGAATGCGTCGCCGCCGCCCATCGACGGCATCAGGCGCCCCTGCCGCCCGTCCGGCGCTGCCCGCCCGGCGGAGGCCGGTCCGACGCGGCATTGCAGCAGTCTGTGCGCCGATCGTCGGTCGACGACGACGACGACGACGACGACGACGACGACGACGACGACGACGAAGAAGACGACGACGACGACGACGACGACGACGACGACGGCTCTAACGGAAAGGCGCCTCGCACACGGTGGATTGCCGGCGGAAGTCCCGGCAGCCCAGGCAAGGCCCGGGTGCCTTTGCCTGTTTGTCTGGCCCGCCCGTCCGAGGCGAAGCGGCGGGAGGCACCCGGCACCGAGACGCAGGGCGGCCCAAGGCATGCAATCGACAGGGCGGGCGGAGTGGCGACAGCCATGGCAAGCAGAACCAGTCTAGGCCTCCCAGATGGGGTCGGAGCAGATGGGGTCGGAGGATCGGGCCGCATCGCCGACGCATCGCCGATGCGGCTCGATGCGGGGCCCAGTTTGCTTTACGTCGTTGTGGGCGATGCAGCGCCCACGTCGCCGGTGTATCGCCGGTGCATCGTCGAGGCATCGCGGAGGAATCGTCGATGCGCGGCGATGTTCCGACCCCATCTGCTGCGACCCCAGGTGAGAGGCCTCTAGTCAGGAGGGGAAACATCATGCAGACACAATTAAGCGTCGACTTCCAGGAAAATATGGGAAAATATGGGGAGTGGGGGGGAAGACAAAAACCCAGAAAATATACGAAAATATGGAGAATCCTGTTATTTGTATGTATTTATTTGTGTGTCTCAGGGCCCCTTCAGGAAGGGAGGACAGGCCAACCCAGATCTCCGACGCATCGCCGATGCGGCTCGATGCGGGGCCCAGTTTGCTTAAGCAAACTGGGCATCGATGGTTTATAAGTAAGTTTAGAGCGCTTGTATGTTAAGATAGACCATATACGATGTTACCTTATAAGTACTTATAACATACTGATCTACTTCCTAACCGCAGCGGTGGTCCCAGTTTACGTCGTTGTGGGCGATGCAGCGCCCACGTCGACGATGCATCGCCGGTGCATCGCCGATGCTTCGTCGATGCATCGCGGATGTATCGTCGATGCGCGGCGATGTTCCGACCCCATCTACTGTTATGTCGGGCGTGTCCCCCTACAAGGGGATTTCCGACGAAAAATCAAGAATACCCCAAAAATACCCGAACACAGGTTAAACAATAGTCAACAAATAATCCCCAGACTTTTTTCTTCACAAAAAACTATGTGGAAGGATTTTTTACAAAATGCTTGCTCGTCGAAAATCCCCATGTAGGGGGACAGGCCCGACTTAAATCTACTGCGGCCCCAGCTGAGAGGTCTCTAGGGGGGGAGGAAGGGAGGACAGGCCAACCCAGCTCTCCGAGGATCTGCTGTTTGAAGCTGGCTGTGGTTCCTCGATGTTTGCCTCGGGGTCCCGTTGGCTGGCCCCAGGACTATCGAAACTTGAGTCGGGCCTGCCCCTCTACAGGGGGAATATTCACAGATAGTCAAAAATAGTCTGGGGACTTTTTTTTTTTTTTTGTTTTTTGTATTTTGGGGCATGTTTTGAATATGTTTTGAGTATGTTTTATTTTTCAGTGAAAATCCCCCTGTAGGGGGACAGGCCCAACTTAAATCAAAACGGATCCGACCCCCCGGAAAAGGGTCGAGATCTCTTGGACCTTGCATGAAAAACAACGTACCGTCGGATGTTTGGGAAGATGGTCGCATGTTCTCGTCGGTTCTCGGCGTTTTTCCAGCCTCACGGAGGGAGGGGTGTTGGGAGGGAGGGAGACAGGAGGTGATTTACGTGGATCACCGCAGGGGGTGTTCAGGGGACAGGGGAGCTCGGAATGGATGCTGGGGTGGGCTATATCTGGCCTAACCTATCTGACAAGTGTTTCGCAAGTACCTAAAAGCGGCTGCGGGAGGCGCCGCCAGGGGTGCCCCAGCGCCGATCCGAGAAGTCCGCGTGGACCTCCGAGTTTTTGTGTTTAGGTCACTGCTCGTTCTCCTAAGGCAGGCTCAGTGGGGAACTACTGACAGCAAATCGCCCAGTGATCACCGGCAGGTGCCTATCAGCCCGACTCGCCCAAGAACGCGCGGAGTCGGTACCGAGAGCCTGTCGCCAATCCATCGGCGATGTATGGCCGAATCCAGGTCCATGTTTTTGTCCCCCTGTGCCAGACCCCCCTGCCGCTCCCCCTTAGGTGGAGGGGTTCGGCGTTCCACGTGTCGGGGCGTGTTCCTGCATGTTCTTGGGAACTTCCAGGGTGCGCCTTTGTCGACGCGACGGGGTTCGCATCGAAGTTCTAGCCAGAACGCATGAAGGTGAGCCCAGACGTCATGGCTCGAAACAATCGAGGTGACACACACGCACACATATATATGTATATATGAACCAGGCCTTAGTGCCTACGGCCCCCGCCCCCAGATGGGATGGGTACCAGGCCCCCCCCCCCCCAAATGGGAAGTGGGTGGACGACGACGACGACGACGACGACGACGACGACAACGACGACGACGGCGACACCGCAGCACCACTCCACACCCACAGGGGGAGGGGAGGGTGCACCCACCACCACCGCATGCCCACGCGGGCGGGGGGGTTCCACCTCGTTGCGCGCCTCCACGCCTACAGGAGGGGGCGGGAGGCATCGCGCGCAGGGGAAGTGGGGGGGAGCGAAGAATTCGGCATTGAGGGACGGGGGCGGGGAGCCGTAAGCGTTCGGCATCTAGGGGCTGATCTCAGGCTCCGGCACCGTCAAAATTTGCTCGGGGTGCGAAACCGGCTCGGGGGAAGGATTCGAGATCTCTGGGGGCCTATCTCTTCGTTTTTGATGAGCAAGGAGGAGGAAGCCGATACAGAGAAACAGTCAATACAGAACGAGTTCACAGAGAGAAATCCTGGTCAACAGTCAACACAGAGTTCCGCGAAAGACGAGAGGAGACCGCGGCTTGACGTGTTTTGCTGCTCTTGGGCGGCCTCCGTAGGGCGCCTTGCCGTCGCGGCCAGGCTTAAACCGAAACTTTGCATGGCCAGGCCGCGCTCCAGGAGATGTCTGGGACTCGAGTTGGAGGGGCATCTTCATGCGCCGGCGCTGAGGGTGAGGATCGAATCGGGCCGGCTGTCCACAGGGCCAGAGCCCGCGCCGACGGGCGAGCGCCAAGCCCATTCTGACCCGACGGTCGAGGGGAGCCCCACGCGAGGCCTGGTGAAGGTGAGGGATCAAAGCCCCGGAAACGTTTCCTGGACAGAAGTTCTCAGAAAAGATGCAAAACATTGACTGAACGAAGCCTCATCCCTGCTGCCTTCCCTTCCGTCTACCTTACCTTCTGGAGCAATTCCTGAGGGTACGTGGTAAGTCAGGAGGGGGAAAAACACACAGACACGAATCAGCGTCGATTCCCAGGCAAATGTGGAGAAATCTGGGAAGTGGCGGGGAAAATGAAAACCCAGGAAGTATTGGAAAAGATGGGGGATCCTGGGATTTGTGATTATTTATCTGTGTGTCCCTGGGCGCCTTTGGCTGGGAGGGGGAGAGGGGAGAAAGGACGAGCTCAGACCTCCGACCTCCGATGTCGCCTGTTGTCTTGCATGTTGGATCCTCCTCCTCCTCCTCCCCCTCCTCCTCCTCCTCCTACTCCTCATCCCTGCACGTCTCGACTCCCTTCACGGGGCCGAGGGAAGGAGGAGCCCAGACCTCCGACGCCGCACAGTTGGGCCGAGGTGCAAGGTCGAGGTTGACTCGGGAAGGATGCCCCAATGTTCTTCGAGTCTGTTGGATGTTCTCGTGCATCTCGTGGGAGGGTTTGGGGCTCGGCGGAGGCTCTCGTGTCCTTGAAGGATGTTATTCTGGCCTAGGTCCGGCTGTACTTCGCGCTCCTGTACGGAATCTCCGGAGCTCTCGCCCCCATCTTGGTGCTCGTTTTTCCTCAACACTCCAGTGTTATTTGATTTTCGTTTTCTCTGCCGCGCCAAGCGTCTCCTTGCTCATCCTCCATTCCTTGACCTTATCAGCCATTCTTTCCTGTCGCACCCCGAGGCGCATTGTCAGAGAGGCGCGGGCGTTTCGCTTGATATTTCCTCACCACTTACGATCCTTAAGCTGAGCAGTCGCCAGAGTTTCACAGATGGAAGGCGGTCCGATTTCAAAATGTGGTTTCTCGATTGAGTTCCGTCCACAGTCGTCTTGGACATTTGCAAGAGCTTCACGGACGCAGGGCGGACTGCCTTCACCATGTCGTTTTCGCTTGAACGCCGCGCACATTCGTTCAATGGAATTGCAAGAGGTTCGCAGATGGACGACGGGCCCTTCTCAAAACGTGGCTCTGGCCTCAGCGCCCGGCGCATTAGTCTCAGAAAGTTGCAAGAGGTTCGCGAGTGGACGGCGGCTCTTTCTCTCAATGTGTGGCTCTCGCTGTAGCGCCGCGCACGTTCGCCTTCAAAGGTTACAGCAGTGTCAAGGGTTATCGTGGCTACCGTCCCAGAAAGCTGTGTTGTGGCACAGTGTCGGATTGTCAGAGCGCGACTGTTTCGTTGATTCGCGGTGTTGAAGTCCCAGTAACGGTGCGGTTTAGGGTTGTCAAGGCGAAAGTAAGAGGAATTCGCGGCCTAGAAGTCCCAGTCATGGTGTTCTGGCACAGTTCAGGACTTTCAAACGGCTGTTTTCCAATGGGGCTTCTCCTTCAGCGAAACTGAATCCCTGTAGGGGCCTATGGCGGGGAAGCTTAGAGGGAGAGATGAGTCTTGGGTTTGCACTGGTCCTTCTCCTCCTCCGCTGACGCCGACGACGACGCCGACAACGAAGAAGACACTGAAAAAGAATGGAAGGCAGCTGGCCAGCAGGCATATGCGAGGAGCGGGTTCCACCCTGCCCACGTACCCTTGCGTGGGGAGAGCTGGTGAAAAAGGGCCAGAGCGCAGCATAGCGCGAGCTACCTCCCACTAAATGTACACACCAATGCCGACCTATGATTTTCCATTGCTGTGCCGCACTAGTAGCAGAGCAGTATCCCTGAACCGGCCCCAGTGCTCGATCGATCGATCGATCGATCCTCCTCCTGCTTCTCACCCCGCCCTTCCCCCCGCCTCCTTGTCCCTCTTCTCTCTCCCAGCGCGCCCGCCTCCCTCCCTCCCTGCCCGTTCGCTGCCCGATGCGCGTGCTGATCTCTGCGGACCGCGCGGCGCGGACAAACACCAGTTCCTCGGCGGCCAGGCACAGCACAGGGGCCGGAGAAATGTTGTCGGGGACGGGGCCGAACCAGTCAGGCGGCGGACGGCACGGGGGGGCAATGAATCGGGGGCGGGGGGTCGACGATTTCGGAGGAGGAGGAAGAGGAGGAGGAGGAGGAAGCGGAGGAGTTAGCTATAAGGAAAAGGAATGAAGGAGCAGGAGGAGGAGGAGGAGGACCAGTGTAAATCCAAGAGTCATCAACGATGTTGGAATGATCGCTCCCTCCAAGCTCCCTCTTCATAGGCCCCCACAAAGGTTCATTTCCATTGAGGGAACTGCTTCGTTGGAAGACAACAGTTCCATGATCTTGAAGCATGCCAAAACATTGTTCGCGGAATTTCAACGCCACGTATCAACCTGACTGCTGCGCCTTGACGATCCAGAATCGTGCCAGAGCGCCATTTTTGGAACTTCAACACCGCGAGCCAGCATAACTGTTGCACCCGCATAATCCTGAATCCGTCCAACACACCAGGTATGGTACGTTGATCATGAGAATCCATAAAACCCTTGCAGACTTTGAAAACGAGTGTGCGCGGCGCTAAGGCAAGGGCCACATTTTGAAAAGGAGCCGTCCTCAATCCTGGAAGATCTTTCACATTTTGAAAAAGAATGTGCGCGTCGCTAAAGCGAGAGCCACAGTTTGAAAACGACCCGCCCTCAATCCGTGAAGGCTTGTAATTTTGAAGAACGAACGTGCGCGGCGCAAAGGCGAGAGCCACATGTTGAAAACAACCGCCCTCAATCCGTGAAGTTTTTGCAACGTGTTAAAATGCAGATGCGCGGCCATAAGGCGAGAGCCACATTTTGAAAACAACCCGCTCCCAATCCGTGAACCAGTTGCACTTGTTTAAATCGAATGTGCGCGGCGCTATGGCGAGAGCAACATGTTGAAAACCACCCACCCTCAATCCGTGAAATTGTTACAACTGTTAAGAAATAATGTGCGCGGCGATAAGGCGAGAGCCACATTTTGAAAACCACCCGCCCTCAATCCGTGAAGCCCTTGCAAGTTTTGAAAACCAATGTGCGCAGCGCTTAGTCGAGAGCCACATTTTTTGAAAACCACCCGCCCTCCATGTGTGAAACTGTTGCCACTTCTGAAGCTTCAGAATCATAAATGGTGAGGACGTCTCAGGCGAAACGCCCGGCCTGTCCTAAAAAAATAGGCCTCGGGGTGCGAAAGGGAGGAGTTATCCGCAAGGAAAAAGGAATGGAGGAAGAGGAGGAGGAGGAGGAGGAGGAGGAGGAGGAGGAGGGGAGAGGGAGAGGATGAGGAGGAGGACGACGACGAGGAGGAGGAGTCCGAAGGATACACCTGCCAGCAGCTCGGAGCTGAGGGCGGAGGAGGAGGACGAGGAGGAGGAGGAGAGGAGGAGGAAGGAGGGAGAGGAGGAAGAGGGGGAGGAGGAGGAGAGGAGGGAGGGAGGAGAAGGAGGAGAAGGAGGAGGAGGGGGATGAGGAGGAAGAGGAGGAGGGGGAGGACGAGGACGAGGAGGAGTCCAAAGGATACACCTGCCAGCAGCTCGGAGCTGAGGGAGGAGGAGGAGGAGGAAGAGGAGGAGGAGGAGGAGGAGGAGGAGGACGAGGAGGAGAGAGGAGAAGGGAGGAGAAGGGAGGAGGAGGAGGAGGAGGAGGAGGAGGAGGAGGAGGAGGAGGAGGAGGAGACGACAAACAAGGACAGAAAGTTCCCAAGCCCTCCAACCTCTCCGCTGCCCTGCGCCCTGCCCCGTGCGAAAGAGGGACAGGAGACTGGCCCGAAAGGGGCCCTCAATCTTGGCTTTTCTCGGCGGGACCGTCGAGTTGCAACTCTAGGGGAACGAACATTGACATAAACATCTCGGAGGTCCGCGCGGATTTCTTGGATCCGCGTTGGGGCCCCCTGGCGGCACCTCCGGCGCCGCCCCTGGCACGCTTCGCGCGCCAGGGACGGACCTCCGAGATGTTTTTGTTTATGTGATTTCTCGTTCCCCTAACCGTGGACCATTCCGCGGGGAACTGAGCGCCCGAAGCCGCAACATGCACGCGGGACGGACGGCCGAGCGACGGCAAGGACCGGCTTGCTGAACTGCCGCCGCGGGCCAAGAAAAATCAGGAGGGATAAAAACACACATACACAATTGATCGGCGATTCCAAGAACATGTGGGAAAATATGTGAAGTGGGCGGGAAGACAGAAACCCAGAAAATATGGGAAAATATGGGGGATCCTTTTATCTGTGTGTATTTATGTGTGTGTGTGTGTCCTGGGGCCCCTTCAAAAAAGGCGCACGGAAGGCGCACGCGTCTTCACCCCCGTGTGTGCCGCAGCTCCAGGACGGGGCCGAAGACCAAGGGCATCGGCGGTCGGGCGTTGCTGGGAGTGGCGCGGAAAGCCGGGAGCACCTCGGGCCAGGGCGGCTGCCAGCAACACCTCAGAGGGGGGAGCCAGCGGCAACTCTTCACGAGTCCAGGAGGAGCCTCGTTCAGCGCAAGCAGTCTTTGGGGAGCTCGCCACGTCGCCGCAATAATCTGACTCAAGTAGACCTGCCGATGGGAGGTCTAAATCCTTTCATTATGTTTGGTTCCATTCGCCCCCGTCTGCCCCTTTTGCGGGGCATTATGCACGTTTGGTTATCCCTTGCGTTCTGGCTATCTCCATTGCCTCCAGGGTATACACATGGCTCCCTGGCTGTCCCAGTGGTTCTCTTCGCCACCCCATTGAGCTCCGTGGCTATCCCGATGGACTGCTTAGCGATCCCAATGGGTTCCTATGGGAACTTCAGCGGATTATCATGTGCACCCCCATGTATTACAATGCGTATCCCAATGGATTCCGATTGATTTTCTAAGGGGTTATTCGTGGTATTCCAATGTGTTGCTACAGCATGGAGTCCACTCGAGTCCTATGCGTACGCAAGGGAACTCAATAGAGTGATGTGGAGACCTACGAGGCCTAAATGATGTCCAAATGATGTCCAACTGCGTCATGTGAAGTCAAATTGACCCCGATGGACAAAAGAGCCCCGGGGGGTTCGACGGAGTCATATGGGTATTCCAATGGAGTCGTACGGAGCCCAGTGGAGTTCGATGTGTTTTCAAATGGAGGCCTAAGGAAGCCCATCAGGAGTCCGGTGGAGTTGGTTCCATTTGAGTGCAACGGAGTTCAGTAGAGGCATAGATCCAATGGCGTCCAGTGAAGTCCGATGGAGTCCTGATGTGTACTCCACTGGAGCCCCATGCAGCTAGGGGTTGAATGGAGTCGAATTGTGTACCATGGGTACGTATTCGAATGGAGCCCAATGGAATGAAATGCAGTTAAATGGAGTCCCAGGGGCATTCCAGTGGAGTCCAGAAGAGTCGTCTTCGAGCGGAGCGTATCGGATTTAGGTGTCCATTGGAGTGCGATGGAATCCGATTTGTAGTCAAATGGAGTCGAGTGAACTTCAATGGAGTCCTATGGGTACCCCAACGAAGGGAAACACATCATGTTGCAACCAAACAGGTCCAATGGAGTTAACTGGAGCCTTCTGGAGTCAGATAGAATTCAATTGAGCCGTTTGGAGTCTTATATAGTGCAATGTAGTCCGATTCAGTCCTACGCAAATCCTGCGAGGTTCAGTGCAATCCGATGGGTCACATGTGAGCCATATGGAGTCATAGTCCATATGGAGTACGATGGGTAGTCCAATGGAGTCCGATTGAGCCCAATGGAGTCCTACGACGGGGCTCGTGAAGTTCTATGGGTATTCCAGCGAAGTACACTGGGGTCCTACAGATCTGAAAATGGGCCCAATGCAGTCCAATGGAGTCTGGAGCCCACTGGAGCCCTATAGAGCCCAACGGAGTCCAATGGAGGCGAACGGAGTCCCCTGGAGTCCAACGGAGGCCCATGGAGTCCAATGGAGCCCCATGAGGTCGAATGGGGTACAGCGCAGCAGAATGGAGTTCAACGGAGCCCGTTGGAGCCCAATGAGTTCCTATTCCAATTGGGACGCATTGAGTGCATTGGCGTCCCATGGAGTCCTATGGAGTTCCGTGGGTTTTCAAATTGAATCCGGTGGGGTCACACGGTATCTCTCGGGAAAGTCATGTTTGATTTCATTTTCAGTGGATTTTCTTCAAGTCGGTACGCATCACGTGGAGCACGGACATGCGACTTGTTTTTTGATGTTAGTATTTGGTTCAATTTCGCCTGAGCTGTACGAGCCACGGCAGCAATGGTAGAACCAAAGTCGGGGACAGACGGGGACGCGGCCAAAACACGCGGGGAGCTTGACAGCAAACAACGGCAGGACAGAGTCGCGGACAATCGGTGCGATGACAGCGCAGGGGCAGACAGGGGCAATCGGGGATAAGGCAAGGCCAGTGTAAGGACGTCTGCAGCAACCGAAGAGAGGGTCCAGTCTGGGAGAGTCGGGGGCAGCTGGGGACGTGGCCGAACCGCCGCAGGTGGCAGCACCTGGAGGTAGACCCTCCTCATAAGAGTAAAGATCTCTTTCGGTGCAAGTGCCGTCTGGGGCGCCGGTGCGAGCGGTGGCGAGCATATCTTCGACACGGGCCGTCGCAGAGAGAGTCGGGGGCGCGAAAGGCTTATTCTCCCGCTTGTCTCTCTCTCTCTGTCCCTCGTCCTCCCCCTTCTCAGGTGGGTAGTCTGCGACCTCATCGACATGCTGCTGTCCTGGCACGCACGCAATGGCGCGGTATGCGACATCTTCAGGCAGCGTCCCCGGTGCCCGCCGTGTCTAAGCAGGTGCACCGCTCTGCTCCTCTCCAGTGTCCACCGTCTGTCTGGGTGGCACGGCGGTCATGTTGACCCCGGGCTGGAACTCGGTCGATGGTGTTGTTGTTTCGGTGGAGGGTTGCACGAGCCCGGTGTCTGAAATTTCTGCACCGCTCTGCCTCTGTTCGGTGTCCACCGCTCTGTCTGGGTGGCACGGCGGAAATGGAGACCCCGTGCTGGAGCTCCATCGATGAGAGTGTGTTCCCTCGGTGGAGAGGGGGCGTGAGCTCAAGAGCTGCAGCTTAGCCGCATCTGGCCAATGGAATTCGAAGTAGACAAGGTGAGGCTAAAAGGTGACAGCATCATTGACGACAAGTGCTAAGTGGCACACTGACCAATTTGCAGTGGCATTTCATTATAGTGTCTGCTCAGGTACTCCACTCCTGATTCATTTTCTCTACCACTGCCTCGTGTTCTCAATCTAGTCTCGCTGTAGCCACCCATGTTGCTTCTTCGTCTTTCACCCCTGGTACGCTATGTTGTTGTCGTCCTTCTGTCGTTGTATCCACCCGTGTCTCGTGTTCTGCAGGCCAGTTCTGTAGCATCCGTAAGGGTGTTAGTGCTATCCGCCGCGGGTTCGTGTTATCCGCCCCTGTTTCGTGCTCAGCGCTGCTGTTTGAATTCATCAGCTGTGCTGTTCTTTGGTATCCTTCATTGGTATGTGTGTTCTCTCTCTGTCCTCGTACACGCTGCGTTCTCAATAGCTGGTTCTTTCATTTTACTTAGTATACCATCTGTCAGTTTCAGAGGTTCTCACCCACGGTGCGATGTATCCGCCCATGCTTCGTGCGTTCCACTTCTGTTTCGATGTCTCTTTCCCAGGCTCATTCCCAATGCCCCCTGCCCCGTCCTCTGCACACGCCCGCTTCGCATGATGCGCGCGTGTTTCGTTCTCCCCGCTCTCGTCTTCTGGTTTCTCTACCCGCGGTGCTCGTTGTTCAACAGAATACCGCTGGTGCTGTTCCGCCACCCCTGATACATACGACCCACTCATGTCCCGCTGTGTCCGCTCCATGTTTCGTTGCCCCCCCACCCCACGCGTCAGCCTCTCTACCTCGGGTTCGTTTTCTCCGCGCTCGGTTTGTGGTCTCCGACCCTTGTGTCGTTGTAGCCGCCCCTGCCTCGTGCTATCCACCCCCGATGCCTCGCTTTCATCCGCCCCCGTCCTGTCCTACCCCGCACCTCAGCAGGGTGCCCCCGCGCCTCACGAAGCGGGGGGACGCCCAGGGGGATGGGGCAGAAGCGGGAGGGGGAGGAGGGGAGGACGGAGGGAACGAAGGAGGAGGGGGAGGGGGTGGATGAGATGGAGGAGGGGAGTCAGGAAGAGGAGGAGGAAGTGGAGGAGGAGATGGAGGAGCAGGAGGAGCAGGAAGAGGAGGAAGAAAAGGAGGAGGTGGAGGAGGAGCTGGAAGAGAAGAAGGATGGACGGGGAGAAAAAGGAGAAGAAGGAGGCATGGGAGGAGCAGGAGAAGGAGGAAACAGATGGATGAGGAGGAGGAGGAGGAGTAAGGATGAATAAGGAGAGGAGGCGAAGAAGGGGAGTAAGAAGAGGAGGAAGGAGGAGGATGAGGAGCAAGGAGGAGTAAGGAGGAGAGGAGGAGGAGACGGAACGAGGAGTGAGTCGAGCGAGAGACGACGAGCAGGAGGAGGGCCCCCCGTGGAGGGAGGGGAAAGGGAGGGAGGAGCAACGCGAGGAGGAGGAGGAGGAGGAGGGGGAGGAGGAGGAGGGCGACGACGACGACCACGATCACGACCACGACGACGACGACGACGACGACAAGGACGACGACGACGACGACCACGACCACGACCACGACCTCGACGACGACAACGACGACCACGACCACGACCACGACGACGACGACAAGGACGACGACGACGACCACGACCACGACCACGACCACGACGACGACGACAACGACGACGACGACGACGACAACGACGATCACGACCACGACGACCACGACGACGTCGACGACGGCGACAAGGACGACGACGACGACGACGACGACGACCACGACCACGACCACGACCACGACGACGACGACGACAACGACGACCACGACCACGACCACGACGACGACGACGACGACGGCGACGACTTCGACGACGACGGCGACGTCCGCAAGGTGCAGCGAGCACTGACCGGGGCCACTGAGTCTGCACAGGCTCAGCCTGGGGTGGCCGTCGACGCACTCCTCCTCGAGCCCTGCCCCTCGATGAGCCAGGCGGGGCTACAGGACCGGGATAGATCGCTCAAGAACGTTATCAGAGCGCTCCAGAGCACTGGAACGGCCGTGGCGCCCAACAGACCTTCCAGAACCGCCAGATCTCAGAGATACCAGATGGGTCCCAGCCCGACGTTGTTCTGGTCCTGGCTTCGTTTTACTGTTGGCGACCCTCGAATTAGACGTTGCGAACAAATACAACATCGTGAAAGATCACGACTGGAGCCCTAGACCGGATCTCTCTGCTGCATGTTTCCAGCCGGATTGCTCTGTGAGGGTCCTTGGGCCCGAAACCGGGAGAACACGCTCGTCATGGAAAAAGATGCTACGCCCGAATCCGATGGCTTGCTTCGTCTTACTATTGCCAGACATGGCTAGGACGAGGATAAATCCATTCCAGAGTGCTCCAGGATGCTTTCAGCGCATTCCAGAACGCTCTGAGAAGGCCGCGGCGCCCGAGACATCCTCCAGAACCGCAGGATCTCAGAGATTCTCGATTTGTCCTCACCCGACTTTCTCCTGGTCCTGCCCTCCTCCGATATTGGCGGCGACAACGCCCTCGAGGCCGACGGCGGCGGCGGCGGCGGCGACGGCCGCAGCGGCGTGCGGCGCTCCGAGAGCCGCCAGCGGAGAGCCGGCCCGCCCGACACCGCGCGGGCCGCGCGCAGTGTGCTGCTGCAGCTCGGCCCAGAGGGCCAGGAGGCGCAAGGACAGCCCGCCCCTGGTGGGGGGGGGGCAGGAGAGATCACTCTGCAAGGGCGCCCTCGTGGGCGCGAAGTCATTCGCGCTATTCGCGCTTCGCGCTTCGGTGCCGATGCCTCCTCGGCCTCCTCTTCTCCCCCGGGAGGCGGCGCGAGAGCGCGAGGTCATGCGCACTTCGCACTGCCTTGCGGCGCGAAGCGCGACGTTGGGAGCCCCCGATCTTGCTTCCTCCGACCCGACTCGATGCGATATCGGCCGATTCCGGTGCCGCCTCGCTTCGACTTCGGCCTCCGACGTGGGCTCCAGGGTCTCCACGGAGGCCCTGCGTGCCTGCCGATATCCCCGCTGGTCCAGTCCATCCCGACCTGGCGGCCAGCGCCCGCCGCTGCGGTGCACGTCGATCGCCGGCCCGACGTCTCGATTCACCCCTGGGCTCGCCGGCCCTCCGGGGAGGGCAGGGATCCAGAGGGAGAGAATGCACCGACACCGTAGACGCCCTGTCGCTGAAGGTAGGTATTTTTGGGACCCCAGATCCCCATCTATTTCAAGCGCCTTCCTGCTTCAAGCGTCGATATGATTTCGCTGTGTGTTGTTACTCTGTGGGAGGGCCTGAACCCAATCTGCTTTATCCGCCCTCCTGCTTCATGTTTCTACCCACATCTTCCGACCGGCGTGTAACCCTCGGACCTGGGCGCTGCAACCTTTCCACACCAAGCGTCTTCGCCCGGTGTCGGGCCCCGGTACCATCACAGTGCGATCCGGCTCGAGAGATGCCACGGCAGACGGGGTCTCTCTCCCGTCGCGTTCTTTTGCTCTCGCGATCTTGCACCGTTTTGTCGCCAGCGTCGGACCTCGGGGGATACCGCTGCCTCTGCCTCCCTCTCGCCTCTTCGGGCCTCGTCGGAGGTCCTCGTCGCCGCGGCGGGGCTCGCTCCGAGGTGCTTGTCGGCACGCGCCCCGGGGCAGGCCCAGGGAGTGGAGGCGCCGGCACGCCCAGACCCCCGGCGTCGTGATTTTGTCACAGCGTCGACCCCCAGAAGTCTGGGCCCCTTCCTGTGGGGGCCAGAAGACACCACCACCTCCCTCCCTCCCCCCCCCTCCCTCTCGCTGGACAGAGGAGAGAGGAATAATCGACGTGGTGGTGGTGTATCTTCTTTGGGCCCCCATTCCTGGGGGCCGGTTTCTCCTCCCGAGTCTTTTTTTGACAGCCCCGAGGCCCGGGAAGGGCCTTTGGCCGGAAACTGGAACGTATACATTACCAGTGGCGTTTTTTTGTTGCAATCCCATTTTTTTTTTTAAGAATCGGGGATGACGTCGGGGTGGTGTGGTGTTTTCTTGTTTCCCAGTTTTACATGTATACACCAGGATGCCGTTTTTCACCAGAATCCGTTTTTCTTGTGCGAATCTCAGCGCGGGACTGGCAAAGCATCGGTGTATAAGGCTCGGCTCCTTATTTGGAGGCCGGAAATAGGGCAAGCCCTCCCGTCGTGATTTTTTCTGCACCACGCGAGGGGGTCGGGGCGACTTGGCTGCCCCAGCAGTGGGGGGGGCGTGCTGCTCTGCAGGGCGGCGGCGGCGGCTTATCGCCGCCAGCGCGCGTGCCTGTCGAGAGCAGGCGGGGCCGGCCGTTCTCGCGCCAACGCCTCGGGCACGGCAGGACGCCTATGCATCAAGCAGTGGCGAAGCGTCCTGGCTCGCTTATGTGCCGACCAAACCATGTTCTAAGAACCTTTTGTGGATTCCACAAAATGTTCTTAGAACATTTCTAGCTGGGACTGTCTTGTTTGAACACACCGGGTCTATGTTCTGAGAACCTTATTTTTGTGATTGGAACTTTTTTCGGGCTCTAGGAACATTTCGTGGTAGGACTATAGGAATGCCGGGACGGTCGGTCCCCGCTCAAATGTACGGTCGGAGGGAAAAGCACAGCAACACAAACAACAAACAAAACTATGTACGGTCGGAGGGCGCCTGCCGCGAGCGTGCACGCCGACCTGCACGGGCGGCGCCCGCCGCGAGCCGGGAGTCGGGCAGCTGTCCCTCTGCAGGGGGGAGGACGGCAAGAAGGGTGCAAGGATAATCCGATGTCTCGATCGGGGGCCCTCAAACGGGGCGGTGACCACATCGTGCGGTGAGTCGGTGGGGATTCGGGGTCACCGCACGGTTTTGGGACTCGGGTCCCTCTCCGAGGACGTCTCGGGCGACGGGGCCTCCAGGGTCCCAACACCGTGCGGTGACGGACCGTGCGGTGAGGTGTTGGGTGATTTCGAGGTCACCGCACGGTGTGTCGCCGCACCGTTTCGGGACTCCAAATTCGAGTCGTTTCAAAGATGGTTAGGCTTTATTGATGTTTCCTCCAGAAGCCGTCCGTGGGAGGACAGGCCCTACCTGACAGAAGCTTGCACAGGCCTACCACAGGCCTGCACCCACCTGCGCATGCCACCGTCTGCGCAGGCGGCAGGATCCACGGCTCATCCGCGGGTAGGGTCAAGACGCTGAAGTAAGGAACGGTTTGAGTTCGGAAGGGGCTCGATGTTCCTTAGGTTCCTCCAGTGCTGTTCCTCTTGCCCTCCAAGGGCACGGAGGCGCTTACAGCGCCAAAAAGGGGCTTCGTTCCTTATTTAGCGTTCCTTCTTTCAGCGGCCCGACTGTAGGGTCGTTGGTTCCTCGTCCAGCGGCACTGGTCCCGACGGGCTTGCCCGCGGCGGCGGGGCCTTCGGCGGGGCCTCCCGCTGAGCGCTCGCTGGAGGCGCACGCGTGGACGGCGGCACGGGCGACTGAGGCAACGACCTGTCCGACATCAGCCTTCTCCTCCTCCTCCTCCCCCTCCCCCTCCTCCTCCTCCTCCTCCTCCTCCTCCTCCTCCTCCTCATCCTCCTCCTCCTCCTCCTCCTCCTCCTCCGCCTCCTCCTCCTCCTCCTCCTCCTCCTCCGCCTCGCGGCAAGCCTCTGGAACAGGATGGCCCCAAGCGTCGGCATCAGGAAGAGCGCGAGGAAGCACTCGAGGAGGAGCAGCAGGGCTACAAGAAGGCTCCTGGCGAAGGAGGCCGCATGCTCGCACCACGTCTCGGACCTCGGCCGTGCAGGGACGGCGTCCGAAGCGGGCGGCGCAGCCAGTGCTGGCCACAGCGGCGATGACTCCTCGCCCCCATCCCGCAAGGATCCGCCGCAGGCCGGACTTACAGCAAGAACCCGTGGTTTACCAGCCTGGAACATATCCCTATCCCTATGCTGGGCATCTCCTCGTCATGATGCCGATCTTAGGGATTCCCTTATTCTTTGAGGGAGGATCCCTAAGATGGTCATCGCCTTTTGGCGTGTCGATCTCAGGGATAGGGATATAAGTTCGAGGCTGGTAAGTGGTGCGCAGCAGCTGGCACCTGCGCCAGCTGGGGTTTGCACCTGGAGGCGGGGCAGCGCGGCAACCGCGCACAAGCCTTGGAGGGAGCGGACCTGCCCGGGCATGGGGGGAGGGAGGAGGACGGAGGGATCCGAGAGGAGGGAGGAGGGAGGAGAAAAAAGGAGGGAGGAGGAGGACAGAGGAATGATGGAGGAGGGAGGAGGACGGAGGAGGGCGGAGGAGGAAGGAGGGAGGAAAGAGAGAGGAGGATGGAGGAGGGAGGAGGAGGAGGACAGAGGGATGATGGAGGAGGGAGGAGGGCGGAGGGATGATGGAGGAGGGAGGGCCGAGGAGGGAGGCTGGCGGGGAGAGGACTCCGAGGCTCTCCGTGCGATGCCCGCAGTGCTCTAGGATGGAGCCAGGACTCTGGGGCTTCCGGGAACGCTCCAGGAGAAGTCGGATGAGGAGGAGGAGGAGGAGGAGGAAGAGGAGGAGGAGTTGAAGCAAGGGTACATAAGGAGGATGCTGATAGAAGTGGCCGAAACTTCGCAGATCCTGTCGGCGGTATTCGGTGTGCATCCAGACGTTTCGGGAGGAAGGACCCGAGAATTATCAGATGCAGCTCGAAGTAGAATCTCTCTCTGGAGCGGTTCCGAGCCGAGAAGGGGGCCCCGCAGCGTCGAGGAGTGGCACGGGGACTTGCCATCTCGGCAATGGGCATCGTCCTTCTCCATCCTCGTGGTCCACCGCCTCCTCCTCTTCTCCTCCTCCTCCTCCTCCTCCTCCTCCTCCTCCTCCTCCTCATCCTCCTCCTGCGCGCGCTGCCAGTAACTTTGCGCGCTGATAGCAGCAGGAGGAGGGCGAGGGGCAGGAGCAGCAGGAGGGGGGCAGACGAGGAGCAGGCAGGAGCAGGCTGACTAGGAGCAAGGAGAGGAGGATTCAGACGACGCGGAGGCAGACCAGCAGGAGAAGAGTAGGATTAAGTCGGGCCTGTCCCCCTACAGGGGGATTTTCGACGAAAAATACAACACACCCCCCAAATAGTCAAAAATTGTACAAAAATAGTCTGGGGACTTTTTTTTTAATATCTTTTGGGGGTATTTTGGGGGTATTCTTTTGTTCGTCGAAAATCCCCCTGTAGGGGGACACGCCCGACATAAGAGTAGGAGGAGAAGAGGAAGATGGATGGAAGAATGACGGAGCAGCGCTACGAGTAGCTTCGCAGGGGCCAGCGGTTTACGCCTGGTGAGTGCGTGTGCGACGCAAATGGATGCGCGTCACCGGCAGTCTGCACGGAAGCATCCAGTTGCATGATTGAGGTGTTTGGTGGTGTCCGTCGGTCGATGTACGGTTTCGGAGTGAGTCGCATTGTGTTGTGAGGATTGTTGTGTTGTCAATGGATTCGTTTTCGCTTGCTTTATGTAGCGCGCTAACCAGCGGCAGCGGCAGGATACAAATATGGGCACCCAGTTGCACGAGGTCGCTCCACCCGTTCAAGACACGCCTCGCCCGTGTCACCTCCATGCTGGAAGGAGGGGTTCATCTCCACGAAGTCCTCCCAAAAGGCACTTTCGTGTCATGGCCTCAGCTCCATCTCCACCTGCTCCTCCATGTCCTTCTCCACCTGCTTCATTTCCTCTTCCTCTACCTCGTAGTCCCTCTACCTCT